AGTTTGGAGTCTTTCCAGACCACTGCAACCAATTCTCCTTTTTGTCTAGCTGCAAACTGACCTCGCTCTAAATGCTCAATTTTGGCCATGTTCGGGTTTTTTTGGTCTCCTCTGAGGCAAGTAGGAAATCCTATCCTTGATTGGTGAGTGCTACCAACAATGAGTACAGCATGTTCATTCAACATGGTTGTAGCAAGCTCTGGACTTGTGTAAAAATTATTTGTGTACAAGATGTGGTTACGTCCACCAATATGTCTAATCAGGTCAACACATAAATTGAGTGTTACTTTGTCAGTTCTTGTGTGGTCAGATGCAGTGGTGGTCATGAACTCAATTGCACCTACATAGCTGGATACTGCATCAGCCATTACATGTACTTTAAACCCCTTGGCCCGAGATTTACCATGGCCCTCTTTGTAGCCCACTATGGCTTCATCAATTGCAATTTGTCTGTGGAGGTTGTATGATGAACGTGATTTTTCCATTATTTCATCCATCACTGGTGCTACCTTGTACAATGGCTGTGCCCGTCTAGCAGCATCACGTAATAAAGGCATGGATATATTGGCTGGATCCTTGTCAGCATCATTGCAGTGAAAATACTGCATTATTTTCTTAAATCTGTTGCGGGACATGGTTTTGGCTACAAATTCATTTCTTAGGGATTCTGTGGTAGACCAGTAGTCATTAAGTGCCATTTTCGGATCAACGCCCATGGTTATGACTATTCCCAAAAATGCTTTCATCTCCTCATCAGTGACAGGATACCATAAAACATCTTTTTTGCATTTCTTATTTTGCTTCCATTCAGCATACTTGTTAGTTTCTTTGCGTAGTTTTTTCATTAAGCGATGAGCGAAAATTGTATGAAATGCATCAAGGGGAGTGCTATTCTCAGCAATGTGTATGTTTGGCCCAGGCTCAGGGCCAGTGAATGGTTTTTCTGAATGGCAATGCAAATGTGATGACCACCCCTCATCATCTGCATCATCATCACTGCTATCATTAGGATATTCCTGTGGCTCATCATACCTATATTTATGTGTCCATGTGTCCTCTATTCTTCTAACAGCAATAGTCTTGCCTATACGTTGCTTGGATCTACTGCTTAGTCCTATATAGGGATTAACTGTATCCACATCAGACCCTTCTGATTCCCCTGAGCCACTGGGGAAAACAAGACTGCCAGCATCAGTATCATACTCTACTTCTGTGGTCTCTGATGCTTCCCCATGGTCTGTTTGTTTGTTTGCTTTCCCATCACAAAGCTCATTCTTCTCATGGTTTGGTTTTTCATCTGTTTCACCATCACTATGTTCAATCTCTCCATGGTGCTCCGTCTCAGTTTGATTAGATATTTCATTCCCAGACTCCTCAATGTGCATCGACTCTCCCCCTGTCTGGTGCTTGTCAATGTCTCCTTCTGAAACAATTTTCCCATCTTTCCTGTCATCAATTTGCCTTTCACTACCCTCTACCCTGTCTGGCTCACGGAAAGTACTGCATTCATTTTCTGTTGTTTTTCTACTCTTTTTTCTCTTACGATGTTTTTTTCTCCTATGCTCACTCTCCTCTCTTTCTGACTGTGAGGTGGTACTCTGCATACGTTTTTCTTTTTTCCTATCACGCCTTTTTTTTCTACTTTTTCTCTTATTATCTGACTGTGTGTTGGCAGTACTGACTGAGGCACTATAATTATCACTGCCTGAGGGGCCATGCGAGGCATCATCAGTTGCATCAGCTGTTGGCATATATAACCCCGATACCTCGCCTGATCTGGTCCTTGTTCCCTCCATTAGCAGAGTATTTTGGGCTGGAGTAATGTTTAGGCCTGCTAAATATCTTATGTTTTCACCCAAAGTGGCAATATTCTTTTTCTTTCTACTGGAAGGCACTGAAGATTTAAGTAAAAATAACTGTTAGTTTTGCTGCAAATATACAAGCAAAATTTCATTGAAAAACAAGCTAGCAAAGATGATTTATTTTGCATGGGTATCCATTTGCCATTTACTGTAAAATTGTTCCTGTCCATTTATTATTCTGTGTGATCAGTTGCTGTCCATATGGTATTTACTGTGAGCCTCTGTGAACTCAAGGACTATCCACATAAACATTACTGTGACTCAATGAGTGGCCACACTCCATGCAGTGTGATTGTAGACTTGTCCGATTGCAACTTACTGTGATTAGAGTATAAGCCATTTGGTACTTACTGTCAAAAGATAATTGTCCTGTGAGTGAAAATGATAATTTATATCCAATATTCTTCTCCAACAGATGGGGAAAATGCTTCTTTTTGCCACTTTTGTACACAAGAAAATCGACTGCACTCCTGTCAAACAACAACTAGCTCACACTAAACATTCCTGCTCAAGGACAGTGAAATTCAATCTGATATCGTTAAAGCTGTGTCACATTTCCCCACTCCCACATACTTTATACTTTATACTTTATACTTTACTTTATTGACATCATTCTGTTTGAAGAGAACATACAGTCAAGTGCTAAACTAATAATTAAAATTAAAAAAAAAGGAGAAATTAATATGTAGTTTAAATAAATACATATTTAAAATTATGAATATTGATATATATATTTAAATGCACACATTT